ACCTTTCAAAAAAAAGTTCAAAATAAACCCTCTTCCGGTTCCCTAGCTCTGTCCTGCACCTCTGGCTTTAAGTTGTGTGTATTCTTTTGAAATTTACCCAAATAATATTTGTCAAAAATATGTGGAAATTTATGACCAAACTCTAGCTTAGAATTGGATAATTGTACATTTCAGCCTTAAAGTTTGCTAAACTATCAGCAGTGTTAGTAGCTTTTCTATAATAAAGTTACACTATAATATACTGAGTTTTTATTATTTGCCTCATCAGTCTGATTTCATCTTCAACTTCCCAAGATATATATTTATTAAGATAACACCTTAACCTTAAATTTTCCATGATAAACATAATAAAGTTATAGCACAAAAATTGATCTTTAGTGATAATTAATTAATTATAATAGTTTAATTGTTACTAAATATATATTTTTAGCAATAATTAGCCCTTATTGTAAATGTCCTTAAAGTTTATAACAGCAATTGCCTAATTAATACACAGTTAAAGGCTTTAGCACACTCTCTCTCTCTCTCTCTCTCTCTCTCTCTCTCTCTCTCTCTCTCTCTCTATATATATATATATATATATATATATATATATATATATATATATATATATATATTCGTTGCTGCTAAAAAACAATTGTTATTATAGTGAGCATAGACATAAGAATTCGAATAGAAATATTGCATTAACCTAATCAAATGTTCCATGGACATAATTAATAATCAATCATCTAATATTGATGTAAATATCCCTTTCCCCGTTTTTTCTTATTAGACCGGTCACTTTTGGATCGATTTTTGTTGGATTGTTTCATTTACTTGATAAGTTGTTGACTCCTGCTATATATTGAAAAAAATATTACTCTTTCTTAACTAAAAAAATTATATGCTTGACCAAAATCCCAACATATATATATATATATAAAAAAATTATATGCTTGACCAAAATCCCAACATATATATATATATATATATATATATATATATATATATATTGTTAAGCACCAACAATGGTGAATGAATGAGAAAACAGTAAGCTAAGAAGAAGAGAGGAAAGGTGAAGTTTCATTCAGTTCATCATAACTGCAGTAGTTTATAATGATACCTATACATCATTATATAAAGGTGTGAATCAACTAACTAACTAGACTAGTTAAGTTACCTAATCACAGTTAATCATAACTAACTTCTGTAACTAACTTTTGCCCTTTACACTTTAGCTCAACACCCCTCCTCAAGCTGATGGCTGAAAGATGTCTTTCAATCCCAGCTTAGACATTAAGTGTAGATGTGGAGCTTTCCAAAGTCCTTTAGTAAGTAAGTCTGCTAGTTGATCCCTTGTTGATACATGTTGAGTCTTGATTATATGTTGTAATATCTTTTCTCTAACAAAGTAGCAATCAATATCAAAATGCTTGGTTCTTTCATGAAAAATGGGATTAGATGCAATTTGAATTGCAGCTTTGCTGTCACAAAACAGATCTACTGGTTGTTTAATGCTGACTCCTAACTCCTTGTATAGCCCAATGAGCCATGTGAATTCAGTTACTGCTGATGCCATGCTCCTGAACTCAGCTTCAGCAGAACTCCTAGCAACAGTCTCTTGTTTCTTCGATTTCCAAGAGATAATAGCATCACCAAATTTTACAAGATAGCCTTTGACAGATTTCCTTGATTGCACACAAGTACCCCAATCTGAGTCACAGTAGGTAGCTAGTAATTCTGAGCTTTGTGAAGGCATAAACAAGCCTAACCCCGGAGTTGTTTTAATATATCTGACTACCCTGAGAGCTGCTTCCATGTGAGACTCTTTTGGAGCATGCATATTATACTGACTCAAAACTTGAACATCAAATGATATGTCTATCCTGGTCATAGTGAGATATAATAATCTCCCTACTAACATTTGATATCTCCCAATATCTTTCAATGGCTTGTCTGCCTGTATGATTCATGAAGCACTTTGCACATATGAGTCATATTCAATGGAAGTCGGCCTTACATTAGGATCTAGTGGAGTGTGAACTGGTTTTGCACCACTTAATCCCATCTCATAAATAAGTTCCAAGGCATATTTGCGCTGGTTCATAACATACCCCTCCTTGGACCTAGTAAATTCAATGCCAAGAAAAAATGTCAACTCCCCAAGATCCTTCATGTGGAACTTGAGTTGAAGATCATTCCTGGTTTGAACAATCAAGGAAGCACAGCTCCCAGTAACAAGAAGATCATCCACATACACGAGGACCACAACCAGGTCAGGGCCAGTCTGCCTAGTGAATAGAGAGTAGTCATAGTGACTCTGAACAAACCCAAGCTGAAGTAATGATGCAGTTAACTTTAGATTCTACTGTCGAGTGGCCTGCTTGAGACCATACAGTGATTTGTGAAGCTTACAGACTTTAGTAGACTCCTCAGACTTTCTAAAACCTGGTGGAACCACCATGTAGACATCCTCAAGTAGATCACCCTGTAAGAAAGCATTATGAACATCCATTTGCAAAATAGGCCAATGTTTAGCAGCAGCAACAACCAAAACTGATCTAACTGTGACCATTTTAGCAACAGGCAAAAAAGTTTCAGTATAGTCTATCCCTTCCTTCTGACTTAACCCCTTGGCTACTAATCGAGCCTTGTACCTCTCAACAGCTCCTGAGGCCAAATATTTGACCTTAAACACCCATTTACAACCAATAGGATGATTGCCAGGAGGAAGGTCAACAATGCTCCATGTGTTGTTGGCCTCTAAAGTGTAACGCCACAAACTCGAGGGGCGCAACTGGCTCCTAATACCAAAACTTAGGCCCAAGCCGACCTTGCTGAACCATTTGCTACTAGCGCATGGCAGCCACACGCAATCAAGAAACCAAATAAGTATATCTCGGCTTAAAACTAAACCCTCGGCCGGCAAGGCCCCTGTCAACTGATCTATAAAAGAAACAGCTATTCCCAGGAGATCATATAAATAAATAGCCAACTCGCACAGAAGTCCTGATTGGGCCGTCGAGGCCACCATAATATCTATACCAAAACTAAATGCAGGTATATATCAATACAATACATCAAACAACTCACAAGCTTCAACAAACTGACACAGGCCAGTATGGCCATAACGTAGCTATACACCCCACACACTAGTCTGCAAGCCTTTAAGAGTAATAAAGAGCGGGATAGGGCCTCGGCCTACCCATAAAGATATATACAACAAAAGGTAAAAAACCTCCCAACTCTGGCAGCTCCGGAGGAAATGAGCTAGCCAACCGGATAAAAGTCAATCCTGCTGCTGAGGAGGTCTAGTCGGTCATCTGTCAGGACCTGCATGCATGAATGCAGTGTCCCTAAGGCAATGGGGCATCAGTACAAAATAATGTACAGAGTATGAAAGACAATAGACTATGATAAAGTATCCTGATATACTGGAATAATCTGATAAATAAATCAAGGATAAGATAAGTGTACTGACCTGCTCCTAAATCTAAACTTATCAAAAATAATAAAACAACAACCTAACCAAGCCCCCATAAGCTCGGCAGGTACAAACAGCACACAAGACCACTTACTCAGGCCCCTATAAGCCCGGACGGTGCCAATCAGCCTATATACCCCTAGCCCTGTAGGCAGTCACATATCCCTCTTAGGCATTAATATAGCCCCGTAGGCAACACATATCTCTCTTAGGCATCAACATAGCTTATAGACAACTCATAGCCCTCTTAGGCAATAACATGGCCCTATAGGAAGCACATAGCCTTCTTAGACGTCAATATAGCCTTGTAGGCAACTCATAGCCCTTCTAGGCATCAATATATCCCCGTAGGCAACTCATAGCCCTTTTAGGCATCCATATAGCCCTGTAGGCATAACATAGCTCTTCTAGGCATAGATCGCATTCCTGCAGCTAACCACAATAGCCTCAAGGGCAACAATAACAATCCAATCGCTAAAAGTGAGCAATTTAGTTATAAGCAACCTATACAAATAGCCTCTAAGTTGTGTCCAACATAGGGATGCTACTAACTAAATAAGAATCCCGACAAGGGAGGATTATATCAACTCGAGCAGCCAACAATCAACAATCACGACTACAAGTATATTAAGGATAACAACCCAAATACATTGCTTCTAAGCTTTAAGGAAACATGCCGTAAGTAGGGAATAGTCTTAACATACCTTTTTTGTTAAATTCACGTGTCCTAATAATTTTAATCACAATCCCCTTTGATACACTACAACAAGACAGGATCATAATCAACACAAAAGAATAGAAGATACAATGAAAATCCGATAAAAGATATGTATTTTCGTCGCAATTTGCTATTTGCGACTTATCAAAGCTAGAGTCGATGAAAGAAGGGTCTTACCTTGATTATAAGTTTGTAATACACCTCAAAACTTTAAAATATGCCCAAACTCCTACTGTCCACACACGAAAGTACGATATGCTAGGAAATCGATAAAACAAATTAAAGGTTGACGAGCTCAACGCGTAGAACAACTTTTGTCAAGGACTTATGTCAAGAAAATCATTGACTTGGCTTGTCCTAGAAGTGGGTTTTGTAAGTTTTGTGAGTTTTCTGGTTCTTTACTAAGGAAAATGAATAAAAGTCGAAGAAGATGATATATATAAAGTTCCACCGACCTAGGGACACACCTCACCTGCCTGCTTGTGCAGTCTTGCGAAAACGTGAATATCTCTCCATTCTGAAGTCGTATGAACGAACGAGTTGATGCGTTGGAAACTAGACTCGTAGACCTTCGATTTCATAGGTCGCGGCGACCATAACTATTAATATATTGGGAGAAAACGTCTGAGACATTTGACCAAATTTCAGACAAATCTTTAAAAAGGAATTCACGGTAACTTTCGCCAACTTTTATTTTGCCACTTACCTAACTTCAAAACTTGAGACACAACACTTGAACACTTAAAATATCACATAACACATCATTCTTAATTTATTACCCACCCTCTTGGTCTTTCCACGAAGATACGAGTCAATTTATACGTTTTGAAAAGTCGGGGTGTTACATAAAGCACTGATTTCAGCCTTCATGGCATCAACCCATTGAGGATGGGAAGAAGCCTCAGCAAAGGATATAGGCTCATAGATAGAGGAGTAAGCAGCAAATGCAGCATCATAGGAAGCAGAAAGAAGATCATAGGACACACTATCGGATACATGGTAAAAGCAAGCAGACCTAGACTTAGGAGTGATAAAATCAGTCATCCATATAGGAGGTTTAATTGGTCGAGAAGATTTTCGAAGACTAACAGACACATGTGAAGAAATGGGAAGTGGAGGAAGTGGCACATGAGAACTGGACTGAGGATTCAAAGAAAAGTCAGAAGGCTCAGGGACAGCCTGATCACACAAAGGCAACTCTGCACAAAGTAAGTCTGTGGAAGTGTCTCCTGTAAATTGGAGCACAGGGAAAGAGGAGAACTGGAAGGACGCATATGCTGAAAAGGAAAGAAGGATTCTTTAAATACAACATCTCTGCTGACAAAGAAAGTTTGGGTATGTAAACTATAGAGTTTGTAGACCTTTTGAAGACTAGAATAACCAAGAAACACAGCTGGAACAACTCTTGAGGAAAATTTGTCAGTCTTCTTTACCTCAGAAGCAAATGCAAGACAACCAAACACTCTAAGATGATCAAGAGAAGGAAGAGTTTTATACAACAGCTCATAATGAGTTTTACCTTTAAGAACTGTGGAGGGTATCCTGTTTATTAAGTACACACTTGTGAGAACACATTCTCCCCAGAATCTGAGAGGAAGGTGAGACTGAAATCTCAAGGATCTGGCCATCTCAAGAACATGTCGATGTTTTCTCTCTACAACCCCATTCTGTTGTGGGGTATAAGTGCAAGAACTCTGATGCAATACACCCAATGTCTTAAGTAAATTAGAAACTTGGGAGTTAAAAAACTCACAACCATTATCAGATCATAACACTTTGATGGTGCTGGAAAAAACATTGTTAATCATTGTAAAGAAGTTCTGTAAAGCGACAATAACCTCAGATTTAGAGTTCAACAAGAACAACCAAGTATATCTAGAGTAATCATCAACCAAGGTAAGGAAATATTTTTTATTCTCATGAGTAGGAACTCTATAGGGACCCCATACATCAGCATGTAATGTATGAAAACAAGTTGATGTAGAGGTAGTACTTAAGGGGAAAGGGAATCTGGTTTGCTTAGCCAAGGGACATACAGTACATATATCAATAAAGGAAGAAGACATATGTTTGCAACAACTAAGTGTTCTCAGTACACTAACAGGTACATGACCCAGCCTTTGATGCCATAAAACCAAGTTGTTAGGACTAGTAGAAGAAACCACATTAGCATTAGTAGTTTGATCTTGCTGAGACTTCAGTTGAGTTCCCTGAGTCTTTAACTGAGTATCAACATGAATCACGTACAGATCATTCACCAGTGTGCCAGGCCCTCTCACATTCCCACTTGAGAGGTCCTGAAAAACACAATGATAAGGATAAAAGATCGCACAACAATTTAGTTCCCTTGTTAACTTGGATACTGATAGAAGATTATAGTGAAATTCAGGGATGTGTAGCACATTTGAGATCTCAGCTCCTCCTAACACTCGAGAAGACCCAATGTGACTGACATGTGTAAGGCTACCAGTAGGTAGATATACTTTGTTACAAAGATCTCTCTCTAAGGAACGATATTGTGTTAACATACTTAAAATGTGTACCATGTGTTTGGATGCTCCTGTATCAATGATCCATTTGTCAGCATCAGGAATGAGAGAAGGACAAATCATCATACCTGATGCATGAGCAGTAGTAGTAGTATCACAGTTACTCTTTGCATTATCTGGCTCTATTAGTTGCAAGAGCTGCATGTACTGCTATGGAGAGAAATAAGGGTGAAACTGTTGCAGTTGATGAGAGGATACACCAGAAGATCCAGTAGTTAGAATCTTAGAGAAACTAGAATCATTAGTTGCTCCTTGACTATTCCATGTTGAGGCATTATGATGATGCATAAGCAGTCCAAGAGCATTGTTGAATCCTGCAAGATTAGCTGAAATAGAACTAGCATTGTTTCTCATTTTACCTTTCCAATCAGCAGGATATTCATGCAATTTGTAACAAGTAGCTCTAATGTGACCCTTCTAGTTACAATAACCACAGTAAAGAGTGCTATTGTTGTTAAATTGTTTATGATTAGATCTAAACCCAGCTCCAGTAGAAGGATTAGACCCTGACTGTGAAGTAGATCCTGATCTTGGTATATGTCCTTTACCATTACTAAAAAAGGCCATAGCCTCATTCATCCCACCAGCATTAGCAGAAACAGAGTGATCACTTCCTGTTGTATTAGATTTACCAAGGATTCTCTGACTTTCTTCAACCATTACAAGAGAAAAAGCTTTGTTTACACCTGGTGCTGGATCAAGCATCATAATCTGACTTCTAGACTGATTATAAGATTCATTTAGTCCTAAGAGAAATTGCATATGTCTCTGGTACTCAAAGTGCTCTACATAGGTCTTAGAACTCTCACAAGAACAACCAGGACACGACATCAATGAGTCATATTCCATCCATAACTCCTTGAGTCTAGAAAAATAGCTAGAAACAGACATAAGTCCTTGTTACAGTGTGACAATCTCCTTATGCAGATAGAAGATTCTAGAGCCATCAACTTTGTCAAATCTCTCTCTTAAATCAGTCCATACTTGTTGAGCACTGCTAGCATAGACTATTTCACTCAATAATTCCCTACTTACAGAGATCATTATCCATGATAGCACTATGGCATTACATTTTTCCCATAGATCATGTAGAGATGCATTGAATTTATCCTTACTACATTTTCCATTAATAAATCCTATTTTCCCTTTACCTAGAAGACCTATCTTCATAGATCTACTCCATAATGAATAATTCTCAGATCTAGACAGTTGAATAGAGACCAGAGAACTACCTGGAGTATCACACGATTGCAGAAAGAGAGGATGATGAGAATCCACCATTGTAGTTCCTCCTTGAACTGCACCACTGGATGAAGAATCAGTCGGCATGATAAACTGCAGCTACAATTGTGATCTTCACTAGCTTCTAGGACAATACAATATCTTGAGTCTTCTACTGCACTGAAAGCTAACGCGATCAACTGGAACACCTTAGAGCTTTGATACCATGTTAAGCACCAACAATGGTGAATGAATGAGAAAACATTAAGCTAAGAAGAAGAGAGGAAAGGTGAAGTTTCATTCAGTTCATCATAACTGCAGTAGTTTACAATGATACCTATACATCACTATATCAAGGTGTGAATCAACTAACTAACTAGACTAGTAAAGTTACCTAATCACAGTTAATCATAACTAACTTCTGTAACTATTTATTAACAAACTTGTAACTAACTTTTTCCCTTTACACTTTAGCTCAACATATATATATTTGATTCATATGGTCTAAACAATTTTAATCAAGTTAGTTAAGAAAAAAAAGGAAAAAATATGATATTAATTACATAAATCTTTGACCGTTTATTGTTTACCACAAATATAGTTCAGAAATCAGACGAAAATAATTTTCGGAAACAAAAATAATTAGATGAAAATGTTTTCCAAAAACTAACACGAATAATCTCAAAAATATTTTCTCGAAAAAACAATTAAAATGCACAAAAGTTTTTCAAACTTATTTGTGAAAAATATTTTTTCAAAATTTAAGTGAACCAAATTCTGATGTCAACTCGTTCGAGTTGGTAAATTCCTCAAAAATTGACAAATATTCCCTATTATTATAATTTATCTGATTTAATTTAATTCAACATAATAAATATATATATATATATATAATTTTAAAAAAATTAAACTTGTGTTTTTAAGCATGTTATAGTATACTTTTGATTAGCTAGGGCCTAGGCTATAGCCTCTGTGACTTTTAAAATTTATTATTTTAAACCTCCATAATATTTTATGTACCTATAAGAACATTTTATTAAAGACAAAATGATAAAGGTTCATTATTAAAAGAAATATACTATTTTTCCATCGAAAATGTCTAGTGGTTATTTTTATACATATTTTGATTGAATTGAAGTAAAAATTAAAATTATTAATTGTTTCATATGTAAAAACTAAAAACTAGTAAGTTCCCACTATTTTAGTGAGAATTTATTTTTCATCATGTATTTTACTAGCAAACTGGTTAGATAGAAAATGAATAAGAAAATCATATTCTATAACACAATTTTTCATTAATCTATGGTGGAAAAAAAATCTTTGTTTCTAATGATGGTTAAAATTAATGATTTCCAAATATATAAATATACCAATTCCTTTTAGAACAAATTACTCAAACAGACCACTAAAGGATGTGGTGCAGTAAATAGAACTGCGCTTTCCTTATTCAAAGGTATCAAATTCAAGTCTTGAATATAAAAAAAATTCTTGATAGAGACCGTTTACTAAACCTGACCTACTTATAAATTATAAAGTTTTGAATTTGGAGAATTGATGAGATTGTAGCCATTCAAATTGGGACATTAATTTTTAGTGAAGAATTGGGACATGATGTATATATGTTTGGTATGTGTCATTCCCCTATCACCTTAATTGTCTTCCAGAAAATATCCACACATGTCATTCTCACTTAATTTTCAGCACAAAACACATTTTAAGTCTCTATTTTTATTTTTATTTATTTATTTCTGGTAAGAAGTTGCTAACTTGGCAACTTGTTTCTAATTCCATGAAAGCACTTCTTTATCAAATTTCTTGAAACATGATTATTAATTTTTGATTTCTTCATATTCACTTCAATGATGTAAACATTATCTCATCTCAATATATCTTTTTTTTAAAAAAATTGAAGTTCTAATTTTGCATATGAAAGAGTACATTTTCTTTTAGGCAAAAGTACTCATTACCCCCCTGAACTTGAAGCTTTTTATATGGTGTACACCTAAACTAAATTCCGTTTTAATTACCCCCGAACTTGTTTATTCCTCCGTCGCGTACACCTTTTTTGTCCACCTGGCGTAGAAATTGACAACACACTCTACTAGGCGCGTGAGGAAGTGATTTTTTCCACATCACAAAGCTACAACGGTAAAAAAACGTAAAATCTCCATTTTCCTTTAATATTTAGCATATTTTAAACGAAAAATAAGGAAAAATGTAAATGAAAAGTAAAGGAAACAAAGATTAACACTTACTTGGTAAGAATTTCCGACAAATTTGAAATTCAAGGAGTTCCGCGAAATCAACCCTTATTCAAAAATAACTTTTAAACAATGAATTTTAATATTTGGCATATTTAAAATGAAAAATAGGGCAAAATGTAAATGAAAAGTAAAGGAAACAAAGATTAACACTTACTTGGTAAGAATTTCAGACAAATTTGAAATTTAATCGACCAACTTCACCTCTAGAAAAACCCAAATCCAAAAGGAGTTCCGCGAAATAAGCCCTTATTCAAATATAACTTTTAAACAATGAATTTTAAATTTAAGAAATTTATTTTTTGCAATATTAATTTATCTAGGTGGCTATTATTTATCCAGCTGGAAATCCACATCATCAGTTTTGCCAGCTGTCGCGCGTGTGTAGTCACAATAGGAGCAGGTGGACGAAAAAGGTGTACGCGACGGAGGAATAAACAAGTTCGGAGGTAATTAAAACGAAATTTAGTTTAGGTGTACACCGTATAAAAAGCTTCAAGTTCAGGGGGGTAATGAGTACGTTTGCCTTTCTTGTATTCAAATTATAAAGAGGTGTGCATCTTTGACAACCAACTCTCCAATCATAGACATTCTTTAACAGTTTAAAAGCCCGTATATTTATTTTTGCTTTATAACGGTCAGCGATAGAATATCTTTATAATCTCTTAAATTTATCAGTAAATTTTATTTAAACATTTAAACTACGATATATTCGAATTGAGCATCCAAATGGACAATAATATGTTCATATCAAACACTTCCGAGTCAAATTTTGAAAAAATATTTGTACGTATTCTCAAATATTCATTACGTAAATAAATTAATCAGTTAAAATTTTAGAACATGTCACCTTTCATAATTATATTCATTTACATCAATAAGCTGTAAAACCTTATTCACATTCGAAGTAATGCTGATGTGAATGATTAAATGAGATATATTTTATGTAATTAATTTATTTACTTAATAAGTATGCTTGTGGACACACAAGCTTTTTAAAAATATGATCAAGAAGTATCTTAATAGTAATACTTTATCACGTATATTTAAGTGTTTAGTTGGAATAAGTTATAATTAAAAATATCTAGATGATAAAATTTAATGACAAATTTAAAAGGTTGTGCGGATGTATTCAACTTTTTTTTGAATCCATGATAAAATGAGAACATGAAATGATGTATTTAAATTATATTTTATTCTTTTTTTATTTTAAAAGGATGCATTCAAATTCTAAATATTTATTGCATAAAGTATGATCAAACACAGCTTACTCCAACTCCATTTTTAAAATTTTCAAATAATATATTAATTTTATGTTCATGACTAGACGACCCCTAAAAACTCTAATTTGAATTTCGAGAATTTGAGAAATTTTTAATAAGGAGCATACTTTTCTCCCTTAAATAATCCTTACTCCACGTGAATATGAATTAATTTGAATTATATATCACTAAATAATGAAAAAGTATAGGCTAAAGTTTATATGCAAAATTCTAGTCTTAATTTCCCTATTTGAGATAAGCTAGAGCGACACTTGTGAAGAAAAATAATGATTAATCTGACAATTTTATCATAATATTTATAATTAATGGATATTATCTCCGTTCACTTTTATTTATTATATTTAAACTTGACATATTTATTAAGAAAATAATTATTGACATGATTATTTTACCTATTAGTACCCCTATTAATTGATGTTTAGTATTAGGTCATAAAAATAATTTAACAATAAGTAAATAATGTTAAGGGTAAAACATGAAAGGAAAAAAAAGGTCTTTTCTTGATACGTGAAAAATGACAAGTAAAAATATATTATTTTTTTAAAAATGCACAAGTAAAAACAGATGAAGTATTTAGTATTATGTCTTAAAAATAATTTGAAAATAAATAATTAATACTATGAGTAAAACATAAAAAATATTTTTTTTGATAAATTAAAAATAATAAATAAAAATAAAAATTTATTTTTGAAATAGTACACGTAAAAGTGACGGAAGGAATTAGTATATATCTAAAAGTTTGTACCTCTATATAAAACTATGATAGGATAAAAACCCTAAATTAAACCATCCTAACTAGCTCCTTTTATTCTCTTTCAACCAAAAAAAAGTAGTACGTACTAATTAAAATAATTTTGTCCCTCTTCTCATCTCGTTTAATTTAATTAGGGTGTTGGTAGATGTCTAGATGATAGTTGGATCAATTAAGAAGCTGCCTTCCCTCGTATTAATAACCATTAATTATATACCCCATCTGTCCATATTTATTTGTCGATTTATTCATTAGGGTAATGCTAATACTCTATCCTTAATTACTTATCCACTTTTGAATTGACACACTTATTAAGAAAATAATAATTGACATAATGAATTTAACATTTTACGCCTATTAATTATGAAGTGGATGAATTAAAAACTTAAAATTTTCAAGAAGTTCTATCTTTTTCAAAATAATTAATTGAGGGTATAATCGGTAAATTTTTTTTGTCCTTTCTTGATTCGTCAAAATGGACAAGTAATTAGGTGCAAGTAAAAAAGGAAAAATGGACAAGTAATTAAGGACAGAGAGAGTAATATATATCATTTTTATTTGTTCAATTTTAAAATCAAGAGAGTACATTGAAAAGATTATGTATAGTAAATAATCATAATTCTATTTATTATTTCTTAAGGACGTATCAAGTTAATAATGAACACGTAAAAATGGACGAAAGGAATATCATTATTCATAGCTTCAACTCCCGATTCATCCTACAGTCGAATAACTTCTACATATTGACGATGTAAAAGTATTCATATAATTTAAGAATATAACTCTATTATTATAAATATGGGATATTAATTG